GGTCTGGTGCACTAAAGGCGATTCACGATGCATTTGCGATGTAAGTTTATGGATAAAAGCGGTCAAGACCTAATAACTCAAATAAAATAGGCAAATTAAATATAGATTATGCCCAACCTGAAATGTCCCATTGCGTAAAACATTGGTTGCTTGTAAAACTCATCCGATGTCGCGTTCACAATGATAGGTGAATCGACAAAATTGTCAACAAAGTTTGGACCGCCTCGCTCGTTGAGGCACATGTTCCAGTCAGTCCAGCCAGTGACGAAATTGTTCAAATCCTATATGAGATTATTTTACCATTGCATATGTTTAATGGAAAGTCTTATGCTAATTTGGAATTTTTTACAACCACAGCAGACTAGAGTAAAAGGTAAAGTCCTCGAAAAAACCACGCTAGTAAATTGTCAAGAGAAAGAAGAATCCTCACTGGTGACGCAGCGATCTCAGTAGTATGCCCATCGTTTTTGTGTTAACACATTGACGACAATGCGAGTTTTGGCTTTTTTGGCCACGTGGGACCGCGGCGATTTTGCGGGCGCGCTCGCCTCAGGTCGTTCAAGCAGATTTTGAGTGATAAATACACAACTAATGACCAATTCAAAACCAAATTAGTAAATTGTAATGAGCGCAACCTACCCAGGGGTACAGTAGTGGAATTTTGATCAAAAGACATGGAATAACAATGAAAAAGCGAAATTTTTCAGAACTAGCTGCAATGGACCTCAAAAGTAATTTTACGTTGATTATTCCAATCAAAACACACATGTTGTCATCCCTAAGGTTCCTTATCTACTTCTACTACTTTTTAAATCTTCATATTAATAAAAAGAGAAAGTAAACGAAAAATTTATTGAAATGAAGATTTCGTATGGTTCAGAAATCCTCCTCTAAATTAAAGCATACGTGACCATTCTAAGGGCCACTATGTTTGTAGCTACGTCAAGGTCTCTTCCATGGAATGAATACAAGAAACTTCTAAAAGAATCAGGCGTGCGCGAAAAAAATGAGTGTAATGGGTGCGGGGGATATATATCCCGCACGGTCCGACATGGCCTGCAATGCGCGGGATATATATCCCCCGCGTTGTCGTCAATGTGTTAAAAAATACAGCGTGTGCAGAGGATGGGGGTAATTTTACTTTCTATCGCTACGTTTCTTTCATAGGCTGACACCGTCTTCATGTTATTTTAACCTTTTATCCATACCGCTAGGAATTGCTACGAACAAATAAGGATTGAAAAAGTTTCCTCTCTTTCTCCTTCCTTACACTCAGACAGGGTGAATATCGGTCGAGGAAAATCCTCGACAGGGGGTCGTACCTGTTGGGCTGGTCCATGGGGGGTCGTACTCTTGGGGGTCAGTAACAGAAGTGGTATCATGGTGCAGATAGGTAATAGGGTATAGCGCAGCAGAAAATGAAAACATCCGAAAAAAACATGATATTAAATTTTCTTTGCAGGTTCAGTCGCTCCATTCCTCCACCTTCATGAGAAGGGCGTATTTGAAGGCAGTACAAAGAATGAAAGTGCATCCCCGCAAAGAAGAGTGCCACATGTGCGCACGCGCTGCAAAGGCACCTCCTCCGCCTATCACTCGCTCCTTCTCCCTTAATACCTCGCTGAGAATGACGCTGTTGTTAGGGACCCTGTCGGAAAAACGACAACCGTGAAGAAAAAGCGCTGGGCAAATGAAGTTGTTTTTTAGGTTACAGGAATAGCACAACACACTATGTCTACTACAATACAGTTTCGTTCGAAGGTCCCCATCATATAACACCTTTCAATCGATTCTGCAACTGTGAGTGGAGGAGGGATGCATGGCTTATACCAATACCAAATCGGATGATGACGATTGCTCCTATTCTTATTGTTTGCGTTCAAAGATATTGTTCTAGACACATTCCGAGTGTTGCCAACGAGTCACACTTGCAATGGTGAATGAGGGAGCGGATTTCCAGGTGGCCGGATCCGACCTCGATAGAGATCCTCGACGCAATTATCTCTTCAACCAAAAAGCTGTAGAAGAAAACTAAACAGACCATCAGGAAGCGCAAACCTTCCGCTTTCCAAAACTATCTTCCCTTTTTCAGGATCTTACAATATAAGAGATATATTGCTCTTGAAGTGGCAAAAACTCGCGTGAAAATTTCGGCCTCCTCGACATTTACTCGACGAAATTTGACAGACCCTATCTTTCTGCAAGGAAGGCTTCCAGAGCAATTTCGATGCTTGTTGGAAACGCGAAATCCAGCTCTATCTAACTCTACCTCAAGCTGCTTCAAAGGTTGTGAAATGGAGGAATGCAACCTTTTCATCGAGGGTGTAGATTCGGACGTTTTTTTTTGAAATTTCGGCAAATCTGACCCAGTGACAATCGCGCCGCAGCTGCCGTTGAATCGGCCTTTGATACACTCGGCTGTTTTGATATACTCAAGCAAGAATCAAGATTGAATCGCAACCCCGTGTCTTCAGGATTTCTGTGCGTTTCTGAACGAACCTCGCCTTGAGGTCACACAAAGTTAATGCCTCTTTCCTCGAGTCGATATTTCAGTATGTACACAAAAGTATGCAGCGATGGAAGACGTGCATAGATGACAAGATGAAGCGTCCTTAGCATTATTTTGCAGAATTTTTTTTGATTTGTTTTGCAGGATTTATTTTAATTGAATTAATTTGCTCTGTTAGAGGGGGTCGTGCCAGGATCTCGATTTCGGGGGGGGGGGTCGTACCTCTGCGACCACGTACTCGACACGATTTTCACCCTGGTCCCCCTTTCCTGCATTCGTAACATTTGCTTGATGGAAGTCGACCCCAAAAATAAACGACGACTCCCATGCCCTGTCAATCATGAGCTATGTTTTACAAACCATATCTGTGCACATAATATAAATATAATACATTTATAGACTCTACTACTTGACTTTGTCATTCAGAGAAAAGAAGTTTAAGAATTACCTCTATAATGCTAACGGCATATTCTTCTGCACGGTACCAGTCTCCAAGAATCGGGCCATGACCGATGAATGCTCCAGCACAAGCCTGCAAGAAAGCAGAGAAAATAAAACAAGATATTAGTATCCTTGACGACAACAAGACCCGTATGTGCAGCACATTGCGCATCACCTGGGACCCTCATATTGCTGTAAACCCATACGATTGACTTGTCTTTGCCCATGCACGACTTTTTTGAAAATTTCCCTATCGTCGGTTGTCGGTTTTTAAGCCTTCAAAACCTCTTTTCGGTTTCGAAGTCTGCAATTACACTCTTTGTTTTACGTTCATTTTCATGAAGATATAAATGGAAAGTGTAATGACAGAACTCTAGAAATGATCAAAACGAGAAACAAAATGCTTCTGAAGCCCATTGCAGTAGGGGTTTTGCTTGCCGTTGCTTCTCACGAGTCCATTTAGTCAAAACATAACTATTTTACCCCCAAATAACTTCTGCGCATTGAACTTTGCCGAAATGGCTCGGTACCATTCATTTTTGTGCATTCATAACTCAAATCAATAAGTGAGGTAAGGCGGCCAGCTTTTGTGAAATCGTGTCGAACTTAAAGGCACAACCACGAGTGAGGTCGAGTATGACAATCAATTCTGTGGATGGGACAAAGTACGCACAAGAATCACAGTAATGCCGTTGCCGCGACATAAGCGCAGGGACTTAAGAAGTGAGGAAATCTGAGCAAATGGACGAGATTCCTCGCGCACACCGCAACAACGTGCATTACGACGCGGAGACTATTCAATAATGCGCAGGTTACCGGAGCCATGGATTCAGCAGTTCGGAAAACTCGTCAACACCCCCTCCTCGTATAAAGGGGGAAGAGAGGAGGTCCTTGCTAAGGTCGTCGGTGCTTTCTTTTGGTTTTCCCATTTTTAGTTAACTTGGCTTCCACACGATCGCTGCTACCCCACCAATTTGATGTGGTATCGTTACTTTCAGAGGCCAAACAAGCGGAAAGGCGCCAACGTCAAACTAAAAAAGATAAATGTTAGTCACTGTTGACAAAATTACTAAACAATACCTCAGTGGCGAGTAGAAA